CAGAATACCAATCAAGAAGGGTGCAAGGCAGGGGGACACAATCTCCCCAATGCTATTTACCGCGTGCTTACAGGAAGTTTTCAGAAGCCTAGAATGGGAACAGTTAGGGATAAGAGTTAATGAAGAATACCTTAGTAACCTGCGCTTCGCCGATGACATTGCATTGCGGAGTAACTCAGGGGACGAATTGCAACTCATGATTACGGAGTTAGACAAGGAGAGCAGAAAGGTGTCTTAAAATTAATCTGCAGAAAACGAAAGTAATGTACAACAACCTCGGAAAGGAGCAGCGCTTCAAGATAGGTAATAGTGCACTTGAAGTTATAAAAGACTAGGTCTACTTAGGGCAGGTAATAACCGCAGAGCTGAACCACGAGATTGAAGTAACTAGAAGAATAAGAATGGGGTGGAGCACATTCGGCAAGCACTCTCAAATTATGACAGGTAGATTGCCACTGTCCCTCAAGAGGAAGGTATATAACAGCTGTATATTGCCGGTACTTAGCTACGGAGCAGAAACCTGGAGACTTACAAAGAGGGTTCAGCTTAAATTGAGGACGACGCAGCGAGCAATGAAAAGAAAAATGGTAGGTGTAACCTTAAAAGACAAGAAGAGAGCAGAGTGTATTAGGGGACAAACGGGGGTTAAGGATATCATAGTTGAAATAAAGAAGAGGAAATGGACATGGGCCGGGCATGTAGCGCGTAGACAGGATAACCGCTGGTCATTAAGGGTAACTAACTGGATTCCCAGAGAAGGGAAGCTGCTTAGGGGGAGACAGAAGGTTAGGTGGGCAGATGAGATTAAGAAGTTTGCGGGTATAAATTGGCAGCAGCAAGCACAGGACTGGGTTAACTGGCTGAACATGGGAGAGGCCTGTGTCCTGCAGTGGACGTAGTCAGGCTGATGATGATGATGACATCGACAGAGATGCTAGTGGCTGCTGGCAGGACGCACAGAGCACTCCGTTGATAGGGAGGCACCTTCGAGCTTCGTCGACGGTGAACCTTGTGTGATTGGGGGCCGAGTAGGAGGCGTCACGATGTCTGGGTTCGTGGCAGACTCCAGGGTGTGAGGCAACGTAGCCGTCATGGAGTCTGACCTGTCCTAGAAGTTGTGGTCTGTGGAGGCTGGAGAAAATGTGTCAGTGGTGAGCGTGCCTGAAGGACCATCGGCTGAGGACTTCGAAAAAACGCACCTCGCGGCAGACTGGTTGTCGGCTGCAGGAACGTCTTGAACCTCTTTGGGTTGGCAGTCGGGCACGGGAATCGCGTCGCTAGTGGTCGGACAATAGGAAGAAAATGAAATTCTAACGGCAGCGCGCCGAGCAAAATGCCGTGCATAAGTGGCTGGTCCGCGACGTCTTTCACAACGAGAACGGCGTTGAGCCGCATGAACCATGCCTGTGGTAAGGTCGGGTGGAACGGCGGCACTGGCAGGCAGAGTGGCAGAAGCATGGCAGGCGGTAGCTCATCGAAGCGCGTGTCCTTCAGGTCCAGAACGGTGACAGAGGCGGGTCACAGTGCGGCTGCAAGGCTTGAGCTGGCTGGAACATGGCCGTGAAGCTCAGAGGCAGCGGTGCAGCGGCAGTTGCTTGTCTGTTGGTCCGGGTTCACCATATGTTGAGGAACGATAGACAAGAAGGTAGCGATGAGGCCGTGCCGTGGTCTCAGCTTTTATTCGGGACGCGAGCATGGAAGGGTTTCCAGTTGCCGCATCTAGCCAGGCCAGGAGCTAGGCCGTTTTGAAATTCCTAGTGGCTCGTGCCACACGAGCCACGTGGGTCGCTTCTTTTCGGCGTGGCCAGCTGGCCAAATTTAGCGTGGCGCTACACTACTATTCGAAGTTAAGGTTTCTGTTTTTTTTAACCAAAAAGAATAGCATTTGCACAGACCTTCTTTCAATTTTTAAAATATATTGTGCAATAATATTCAAATTCGATTCGAAATTAGTTACCAAAATCTCCATCCGCTTCGAAGTCACTTCAAACCTTAAATTCAGTATTTGGACAAGCCTTGTCCGCATGTAACTGCTGTAAAAGTTTTCACTGCAGTGCAGGGGTGCTGAGCCGTGAAAGCGTCTATTGAGGTGTATATTGTTAGGAGAATGTTTCGGCGGGTCTCATTGTGGTCGCTGGCTCCCACCATCGTCAACATAGCTGAGGTTTTTCCAGTGAGGAAATGTGTTTGTAGAGATGGAACGTAGATTTATTTACACGAAGGGCGAAAATTTGATCTGAAATTCTGTATAAATGTCGTCGGCTGTTATGGCTCATCGTTTCCCAACACTGACGTCCGAAGAAGCGATGACAACTTCTGCTGCGAATCACGTGACTTGGAAGTATCAGTAGTCTACCCACCAGTAAGAGTGCAGAAATCGGGCCACTCGTTTGATGAAGAGCATGGGCAAAAGGTTCAATTTGGAGCAGGAGTACACCACACATTGATGTACCCGGCCCCCGATAAGAAAACTTTTGTAATGCAAGGCGAGGAGGTAGAGTCGAGAGGGGAAAAGTGGAGGACCTCCATGGAGAAGATTGCCACTCACACAAACGTTAGCAGCAGGCCATAGCTGCATTTACGGGCTGGATCCCTGAGAACTGCTGCAGTGACGCTGCCCCACGTTGACAAACAGTTGGTGCCTTGTCACAACCATGTGAAGGCAGGCTACAATGGCTGTGTTCAGAGGTTGGCTCCATGAGAACTACAACAGCGATGCTGTCTCATGCTGTTCAACCCCGCTCAACAAAGGGTTGTTCTCGATATCCCCGTTGGTCTCCTCGTAACCCGACCACAGCGAACTGTTTGGCCCACCTGAAGGACAATGTCGTGCTCCATACTTCCGACCAAGCGTTGATACTGAAACGAAACTGAAACTGGAACGAAACTGAAACGAGTTGCACAGTGGTTGCGTTCGGTTGCGCAAGCAAAAGTCGTCGCACCCCCTTGGGGGGGGGGGGGGGGGGGTACAACGGAGAGGCACCGGCACGACGAAAATTTTATGTATTCCTGGAGTGTTCGCAGCACATGCCACGCAACAGAAATTTTGTAATAAGGCACATGTTTTAAACCAGTTGCTCCGTGAATGCATCCGGATGCGCAGACAGTTACCAGTGCTCCACTTGGGGATGCAAAAAATAATGGCGTGACATGGTGGGGGCTGTTGCTAGGGGCGCGTGCGCCCGCAGCTGTTGCTATGGGAGAGGGCGGTGGACAGATCCTGACGGATGCCTGACATAACCTGACTAATAAATCCGCGTTTAAAAAGTTCACGTGTTCCGTACGTTACCAAATTTGCGCCATCCAGCAGGTCCAGGAAGTGGCGGAAAGACTAAACCTTACCGCGACCATCCTGGAAGCCTAGGTCCGGCCGCCAATCTGCAGGTTTTAAGTAAAGTTTTGTCCATTCCATTCCCCAGGTGTGGCAGCACATGCTAAGCAAGAGAATTAATAGAAAAAGATGCACATTTTGAGCAAACAGTCAATGCCGTGCATGTATGGCGAAAACCCTTTGGTCCATGTTAGATGATGTCGTACGTGCACAGTGAAAATATCCAAAGAGCTAATTTTGGACTTACACCAACATCATTACTAAATCTTTATTTACACTTTACTGAGATTCTGCTATATTAATTGATTTATTAATGATGTAGCAGTTTTTGTGTAGCATATGTACTATCTTGCTTTATTTTTATATTGCAAGCAAATTTAGCAATACTTTACAGCATAAGATTTGCATAGGGTAGCTCAAAACATTTGTGTGATTGTCAAAATAAGCTGAACGAGGAGAAATTGGCTTTAGTTACAGGTGAAGTTAATTTCTAAGTGTTGGCAGACTGTATGCTTTTTCAGATGTGAGGGGACTTTAATCAGCATGGCTGCCAATATCTGAATTTTCTCCGAAACTAGTGATTGCGTACCTCTCATCTACAACCATGTGGGAAGAAAATGCCTGTTAAGCAGCCGGCTAGTGTTTGCCCAATGTTTGAACCTGCCGCAGATTACCTCCAAGCTAGGGCATGTGATCAGTCTGTTTAGGCTGTGCGGAGATCCAGTGCAGCTGCCATAGCCAGGCAGTGCTACCAAGCTAGATGAAATGCTTACTCATCGACCTCTTCCTTCTCCTTGCCTGTGCTTGATTATGTTAGTACTGCGTGATCGTCTCTTCCCCCTCCTGTCACTTGAGGGATATCTTTGTCGTGTCTGCCAATATAGGGCGGGGGAAATATTGCCTCAAGTGGGTTGGTTGGTGTTACCTAAGGGGCTGCTATTTCCTAAGGGGGTCGGTGTAAGGAATTTCAGTGGATTTTACCAAGCGTTCATAATTGTATTGAAATAAAATATTTAAGTTTTCGACTGGCCACAAGGTAAGAGAATTCAATACACTGTGCCATCGATGTAAAAAATGAACCTGTTCTTGTGCTTTACAATGCAAATTTTTTCGCTATGTCATGGACTTTCCTTTTGTTAATAAGTTGTTTCAGCTCAGCAAACTCTATTTTAGATATTGAGTTAGTCCCCTTCATGTGTTGCCGTTTCTGTATTAAGTCTTTATTAAGTCCATGATGTAATCTGCAGTCTGAAGATGACTCTTTCTGAAGGTGACTTTATCATATAGAAAACTGCTTTTGTACTTTGGGGTAGTTTACTACAAAAAGCACTACAATAAGTAGTTCCGCACTTGGGCATTCGTTCGTTAAATTTGTGATTCTATATTCATGTTTCGTTGTTGGAATTCGGGCTGTTGGGCAACTGTTGATAAGCTGTAGAACAGTGTAGCATAAGGAGTTCCAGCTACTTATCAGAAAAGCTGGTTTGTTTATTGCTTCTTACATATCTTGGAGTTTGTCACATGTGTCTGGTAGTAGGTGTAATATGTTTCTAATGACTGCATTGTTGCTTAAAACAAGTAAAATTGTTCATGCAGGAGTATATGTTGTTTTGAATGCCAAAACTGGATTTTGTGCTTTGTGGGATTATCTGTGGGATTACCTGTGCAGGTGGGATTATCTGTGCATCAGAGTGATGATCAACTGTACACTCCTTTGATGAGGGCTGTGGATGCTGGAGCCTTTAATGTTGTGGAGTACTTGCTGAAGGCCGGTGCCGATCCTTTTGCCAAGGTAATTCTGAGTGCACAGATATGCAGCCTCTTTTATACTCATCGACAGATAACAATCAGATCATCTTTAAAAAATAGTTTGTGCTTGTTTTTATATTACACAGATAGTAATAATTCATTTTAATCTTCTGTACCTAGGCATCACCTTTACAATTTTATTCTTTCGTGTGAATGTCCTGTTGTGAAACACTACAATTGAACCTCGATATAACGAACATGGATAGAACGAATTATTGGCTATGTTGAACTACAGACAGAAAATATAAAGAGTTGCATGGATTTTGGCATTTTTATAGCGAACAAACTCGAGCGCGCAATGAATATACTGAATTTCCAAGACCTAAATATGAGTGCTGTATGAGCGTACGTTCGGCTCCTCCACAGCACAGTGGCAGTTAGGCGTACTCGCGTTTACAATCCGATGTGCCTGTAGCGCCTTACACGGTGTAGCGGCGTAGAGGGCAAATGTTGATTTTTTTATGGATTCCGAGATTGGCAACGTTCACTGTCTAAGGGTACGGATACCACTGTTTTTACTGTAGATTTTACCAATTTTAATATACTTTTATTGTAGAATGGAGCGGCCTTAAGGGCGGACACTGTACTTGAGACGAAATGTCAGATGTTTTCATGCGTTTGTAAAGAAAATTCACAGTGTGATTGAGCTTTTGATGCTGATTTCAAAAATGCAGTTACTTTTCCTCTAAACCAATTAGTTTTCAAGATATCCTAAAATTAATTACCTATTGTTTGCTGGTATAATGAGACAAGAAATTTGTATTGCAGAGGTAGTATTGGCACATACATGCCTGTATACTAATGAACATAAGCAACACAGGTAGGAGTGCTTTTTTTTATTTGATAATTTTTGCAAGGTTTGGCGCACCTTGCACTTCAGTGTTGCAGACACGCTCACTTTATGCTCGAATTGCTGGCAAAAGTTAAATTTTTTGAAGATCTTATTCAAAAATTCACACCCACCATTGTGTAAGCTAAAGATACAGCTACATGTCACAACAAAAATGACATTCCTAGGTGCTCTGGAGGCAGAGATATCTTTTAGACAAGGTTGCAACTGCAGCAAAATTTGAATCCTGAGAAATCATGCAAAAACACAAGTCCATTTTGGACTGACAGTAGCATGGAAAAGCTGTGTATTTACAATGATTTGCAAATTCAGCTTTCTCAGTAAGCACCAGGCACTTAGTTCCTCTTTTTTGCGTCACCTAAATGGTGTTTTTTCAATGCCCGCTGCATGTTTTTCGCAGAGGCACACACGCGAGCTGATGCCGTCGCCTTGGGCTCGTCTGCCGACTAGGCCGCTTACCAGTTCAGTGACGCCTATGAGCAACAAATGTGCGCGCGTAATCCTCGATCCGTCCTGTAATAAAGCGGTTTTCCGGCTTGTCCAGATTGAGTGGTTGATGTCGCAGACCGAACTCGTGCACTCGCTGATCAATTTCAAGGCTCCAAGAGCAGCGAGGTGTTAGTTTCCTTTTCACGTAAGATTGCCACTTTCGAGTGGAGGCCGCGGCGCAATATGCTCATCGTTGCGGATGCGTCGTTGCAAGCGCTCTACCTGTTGCCAGTAGCCTTCATTGCGCGGGCGGCGAGCACGTTCACCGTGAACGGATTGATTTTTTGCTGTTTGCCGACGCGCGGCGAACTCTACTCTGGCGACCCGTCACGCAGTTCACGTCAGACGGGGGGAACTTGCGGCATCGGCGCGTTTAGCGATAAGACTGTGCTTCCGTTCCATTGTTCCAAAGATTGCTGTCTCTCGTAGCTTCACTTCTGCTTTTTTACTTGCCGTACTGTAAATGTTGAAGCTCTAAAACACTGCCGCTTTGAGCGACGTTGTCGACAACCGACAGGCTCCTACATGAATTAGGCCTACACTGGTGACTCGGCGACCGTCGTTGAACTCCGCGAGTTTGCTATCTTCTCTGCCCTGTGTGATAGCGGGGCTCTTTCTGAAGTTCACAGCGAACGAACGATCGCCACACCCACTTCACAAATTAGTGCGGCGAGGAACTTCTTTACTGCGGCAGGCAGTCAACAGCACCATGACAAAATGGCACATGTCCGTGCGCATCACGATGAAAAAGCAGACGCCGGAAATGCCACTTGACCAATTGGGTGCCTAGGTTTTGTCACGTGCCCCAAGCAGCCAATAGAATCGTGCGGTGGTGCTTCTCGATGACGCTTTTTTGCTGAAAAATCAATGAGCAAGGCGAGCCACTGGTGGCGGGAAATTGAAGATGAAGAACGACCCTTCCAAACGAGACAAAGATGACCACGATAGCTCGTGTGTAACGGTAACAGTTCGGCGTGGAAAAAGCGCGACTTTAGCGTCTATTTGTGCTCAGATTCATCTCACATGGGTGTTATAAATTGATTTTATGCCAGAAATAATGATGCAAGAAACTTGTAACTTTTCAGATAAGTGCAAAAATAGTTGCAGATTCCGAAAATGTCAACTTCAAAAAATATTTTTTTTTGTGATTTTCGGCCTTTTAAGACTCGTTTACCCCCCCTTAACAATCAATGGTGTGGACGCATCAGTTTGCACGCCGCCATTCCGGGCTAGCAGTTGTTTTGTTGTTGATTGTGTGTGGGGTATCCTTCGTTAGCACATTTTTGTGGGGCTAGGCAAATTTGCACACCATCATCACGGTGCAAAATAGGAAAAAACGAACTGCCTTGACGTATGTGATGGAACTAGAAATTATTCGGCGTGTCGTAAGAGGTGAAAAGAAATCGGTCGTTGCTGAAGCTTTCAAAATACCCCGCAGCGCAATAAGCACGGTCCTGAAGCATAAAAAAGAAATTGTTTAGCAAGACGGCCGAAAACGTGCCAACGCACGGCGCATTCAACCCACTGCCTTCGAACGCTCTAACAATGTCTACATAAATCATGGTTCGTCAATGTAAGGGCTAGGAATATTCCTGTGTCGGGGCTACTCCTGCAGCAAAAGGCAAGAGACTGGCATTCATCTTCGATGCCAAAGATTTTAGTGCCAGTGTAGAGTGGCAGTAACGATTCAAGAACCGGTACGACATCGTCAGAAAATCTGCCATGGGCAAAAGCGAGTCGGGGAACGCCGCAGAGATGGACAAGTGGCTGAAAGAGTGGCCTCAAATTCATGCCAAATTTTAACCAAAAGACATTTTTAACGCGAACGAAACGCGCCTCTTCTGGCAGTTGCTGCCGCGCCGAGCCTACGGGCAAAAATGTCACGGTGGCAAGCAAAACAAAGCCGGGGTCATGATCCTACTTGCTGTGAATTACGGTGGGTCGATAAAACTTTGTCCATTTGTGATCGGCTTGTTTAAGACGCCGAACTATATGAGGCGCTGCCTGTATGGGGCCGCTTGGGAGAGCGTGAAGAAAGAGATATCATGAACTGCTTTCGGCACACTGGCCTCACCATTGGCGCCGAGGCAGTTGAAGAGCCCACTGAAGATATTGAAGGCTCTGAAGAGGTTGTCGAGCTTGACAAAATGTGGAGCGATTTTTTGAGGTTGGTGGGCGACACGTCAGAGGTGGTGTTCAAACTGACTGATGTGGAAATCGTTGCGGAAGTTGAAGCTGCTGTTTCCGGAAACTTTCCGTTGCCAACTTCTAGCGAAGCTTTGGCTAGTTTGGCTCTGGCGCGGCGCCATTGCAGCACGATGGAAGGCACTGCGTTGAAGTTTGTGGAATGCCTCAACATGGCAGAACAAGGAATTATGTGGCAAGCCGTCAACCCCAAAAAACATGCCATGCTGCACAGGTTCTTTTAGCCTCAATGAATGTATTTTTTGTTCAAGCAAGTGTATTGTCAATTCCTGCCATGCTGCTGACCTTTTCACACCAGGTTTGGCAATTTTTCGGGGCAGTTTTGTATAGTGAATTCGGCTATAGCAAACCAGTTCGTTATAACGAGGTTCGAATGTACCTGCTAAGTTATAGTTTTTCACTTATTACTGTGGAAATATTGCTGCTCTTTTTTCACTCTTTATTTTCTTGGGGGAGGAGGGGTCTGTGTACGATTCAAGCTGTTCGAATGACATCTTTCTACCAAGGCAGAATGGCAGTGATTGTAGTAGTGCCTTCACGATAAGCATTAGAAAAGTCAAGGTGGTGACCGGCAATAGGCTTACCTTCATGACTTTTCGCCGACTATCTTGTGACAATCATCAGCAGCTATCTGCTCGGCTGCACGTGTTTGTAGCACAGCGTTCTGTGCATTTTCCGCAGTACTCATGCACAATGCTGCCGTTCGCAAATTTGCACCCCCGTGTCACGCAACGGGACTGCTCTGGAGGGGGCATTGCTTTGCAAAAAAAAAAGTAGTTCGCTGGTGTCTATTTGAGATGTGCAGGCATCAAAAAATATCGATGCACAGACAGCAAGCTGGCTGTCCTCGAGTGGAGCAAAGTGATGGTGTGATCTGAGTAGGCAATGCACTGCATACAACTAGCCGGGGACAATCAGCCCTACATGCCATTGCAGCATTTCAGTGAAACAGTCTCAGTTCATTGCAAAAACAGTTTATTTTCCTTGTAAACTCACCACGGCCACTGCAGGGGTTTTTGGCACATTGTAATAAACATTAGTGGGAAAACTAAAAAAAAAACAAATAAAAACCGCTTGTTCGCTAATTAGCTCGAGTTTTATTGGGGGAGTTCATGTACAACAAACTACTGATAATATGACCTCTTTTCCTAGTTTTTTAGAGTTTTTTATGAGTCGATTCAACTGTATTTGTCTTAATGAAAATGGGAAGCTTATATACGCAACTACACTGTGTGTCTGGACACAATTTAGTCATTTAGAATTTATCGAGTTTTTTTGCCAGAAGGAGGGACCCTGCCAATAGTACCAAGTACCCTGTACAGTCGACTCTCATTAATTCAAACTCGAAGGGACCTCTGAAGTTCGTTTGAATTATCAAGAAGTTTGAATCATTAGAAGTTCTCGGATACATGACTCTGGGTGAGATGACGCCACACATT